TATATATATATATATATATTTGTATCATTTATGTTATAATATTTATCTTAAATATTCTGTGGTATTTATATTTCATCGTGTTTTGATCTACCGTGACGGTAATTTATTATCGCTTCGCCTGTGCGGCCGTTTTTAGATAGCGTCGATGTCTGAGAAGTTGCCTGCCTTTAGGCGCACTGAAGACCTGCAGTAGTTCTCAATTTCTGGTTTGATAACTCGCTCAGCGATTCACGATATAATTAAATCATATTTACTCGCATTAATTTGTGTTAAGCGATCATAACTCACTAACTTTTACGTATTCCGTCACCAAATTTTTTTGACCGCACGATTACCTATTGCAGGTGAATCCGGGAAGCAAGGCAGCTCAACAAGGGGTGAGAGAGGGTGATCTGATCAGTAATATTAACGAAAGAAGCACTCGAGATCTGACTAATAGTGAGGCGCACGCTCTGTTACGTAATTCTGGGGAGCAGCTAAAACTCGGTCTCAATCAGTAAGTGATCGAAATATTTAGATTTCTTTGTAGTACACTGAAAGAAGAATTTTTTAAATCTAAGAAATTTTTTTTGTTGAACAGTTTCCAAATAAAACATTTCTTTACTGCAAGTAAATATTTATTAAATGTAAACATTACTTGTAGCAAGTATATATTATTCTAAAAAAATTTACTTGGAACAATCATTTAAGAAAAATATTACTTAACAATTAGATTTAGAAAATTTTTTTTAATGTAATAAAACAGAATTTTATTATGTTCTGTTATTGTTAATATAATTCGACCAGAAATTTTATTTTGATTCATCTGTTTTTTTTTTCACAGAGAAAATATCGGCTCGCCAAAAAGGAGGATCTACAGGAGCAGTCTGCAAGAGAACATCACTACCGAAATTCAGAACAGTAAGTATTTTCTGCAAAAATCGATCTGTCGCTCGCTTATAAGAGGGATGTAATCGTAATTCTGTCATTTGTGTGTCACAGAGATCACCACCAGGACCACAACGACAACGCGCACACGGACGGAGTCGGAGAGGAACGTTGCCAGTAAGTTCTCTGTTTCCTTATGCAAACATCAATTTTCACATTGTTCTGCTAGTGATGAAACACTGACTCTTAGCATAATTGAAAATTGTATTTACTTGTAAAACGCCGTTAACAAGAGGGATACAAGCGTAATTAACAATTTACAAATGATATCTGACAGAAACTTTTGACGAATGGCATCGAATAAGCTCATGATTACTTAAGTTACGTAATATAGCGTCGAATTTACGAGTACTTTCCAATCGTTGTTTGAGCAATAAGCCACCGTGTTCGATATCGATTCCTGATTAATCTCAGGTGGTATCAAACGTCGAGCAAATCGTTATTTTTCAATAAATTTTTAACACTACAACTTTTATACGCGCTTATAATTGCAGCGTTAATAATCGAAATAATTGCAGTAACATAATTAATTTATAAAGCAATCGCGCGAGTATCGTAATTGCGTAAATAATCTCTAGAATATTGATGAACCACAAGACAATCAACGCGCGTTGACAATTTGTTAATAATTAACAAATTCAGAATTTACGATCGTTCTCGTTTCTGCATCGCGTTACGTCGGAGAACCCAGAAATTATCCATGCATGATCACCGATGTTTGATCGAGCACAATAATCCTGCCAGTTAACTGAGCGTACAATGCGCGTAGTTTAATTATTTCCGATCTCAACGACTAACAATGGCGGCCGGTTCCTTTATGCGCGACAACCGCAGAAACCGAAGTTAGCGTCGGTAATGTTTTGATTGGTCGAATTAATCATGCTAGTTTTTCATGCGTTGCTGTCGATATTTAGTTAGCAATTATTATAGAAGAAAAACAGAAATAATTAAAATTTTCTTTCAATCAAACTGAATAAGAAACGAATTTTTTTAATTTGATCAATTTTTCACTTTCTAACTGCTTTAGACAATTTTAATGTATATTAAATTTGAAAATATTGTCCGTTGAAATTATTTAATTCTATCGACATCAGATGAGATCAGATATACATAATAATGTAGATGTTGGAAAAATAATCAAAATTTTGAAAAATTTAATTAAATTAGAATTTGTTTGTATAAATTACTAATTAAAATATCTTGAATTGAATTTAATTTATTGGAACCATGATAAAAAAGATTTTTTTATCATGGTTCCAATAAAATTAGATTTGAAGGAGTTAAAAAAAAATATTTATGCATGTAGCTGGAAAAACGGAAAAAGTTATGGTTGAAATAATTATGTCGGAAATCTTCGTATAATCGAGAGATATCGGTTTCGAAAGCTGGAGAGATTTTTGTCTCTTCCAATTAATTGCCGATAATTAGCTTATTCGAGTCCTCGGATGACTGGATAATAACGAGCCTAATAAGTCCACAATGTATGACGTGTACGAACCATAAATGTACGCGGATCATCCCACTCGTTATTACCCGGCTCTTTTCTCCAAATTGCCCGCTCGTCGTCGCGGTACAGTGCGCATCCAGACAGGGGCATACCCACGCCATGCGTCGAATGTGCATGCGTGTTGTTCACGCACACACGCAACACACCTGTCCCCGGCTCGCACGTATATTTTCATGTACACGAGCATACACCTGCCACCACAACGACACGCAGCAATTCCGTGCGGGCGCACCCTTGGCTCTCCGGGAAGACCCTACATCGAGGAGGCGACCCTCTTCTTCTTCTCTTCTTCCTTCGCTGGGCCGCCGCCTGCGGACCCACCTTTCTCGTTCAGTATCAGGGAACACCTTGTCGAGCGCGTCGCGCCGAGCAATCAAGTTTCGAAGTAACTTATTTCAAAGAAGCACCGGAATCGCGAAGATTTTCGGCTTTTCGTGATCGAGGATCGGGGATCGATCGCCTGATTTTCCGGGAGAAGTTATTGATGGAAAAGTGAAATGTGAACATTGTAATTAAACTAAATATTTGAAGACTTGGAGAATTTAAATTTAAATAAGAGACAATAGAGAGCAATGACATTAAGGACGATGTCAGTGCACAATACTGCAATTAATGTATTGACCAATTCAGATACAAAATCAAAATCCCAAACGTTTTTATTCACTGATGTGATGAATCATCATCTTTCAGTAGATAAATACTTACAAAAATTCACAATATATGCAATCGCAAGCTTTATCATGCTTCGATAAAATTTCTTTAAGACCTTATCCCACAGTAAAAAAAGTGCAACTGATCCTCATATATGAGTTCATATCGGAAAAAGATCTCTTGTAATGGTTTCTGTAATGTTAGAGAAAAAGTATGACAGTCCACGATTATTGGCAAAGTTCCAGAATAAAGCTTATATTTAAAAGTGGGCTATAGAATGAGATAAAAAAATATAAATTGGAAAAAGAATTACGGACTCATACAAATATAATAAAATTAAATTATGATAAAAATTTGCAGATCTGAGTAATCACGTAATTTTCTTTCGATGCGAAGAGATTTTAAATGCAAGAAGATAAGGAAAGTGTAAGACCGTTGATAATTATGTGATCGGTCCCCTGATCCTCCGCTTTATGATAATGTAATTTCTCGTGTAATTTTTTTTATCAATTTGATCGACAATTTAGTGAATGCTCAAGCAAATATACAGGGTAATGCCGATGAGTGTTCAATCAGGAAACGCGTACAACAGCAGGGATGCCTGTGAATGATGGCGATCGTCAACAATGCGCGTATTATCCGACGGTACAATGGTCGCGAATCGCTGTTTAATGAATCCGTATGCGATTGCGTAATGAGGAAAGAAAGGGCGCGCTGGGTGAACTCGTCGTGACAAATCACGCGATGAAAGTAAATTCAGCGTGGACACGTTGGATCAATAATAATTAATCAATGATAATTAATTAAGCTCAGTAGAGGTGACAAATTGAAAAATAAATGATCCTCCATAAAAATGAAGCTTTTCGATTGTATTCGGTGCCTCAAGACGCTGAATCAACGACAGTCGTCGCGACAACGCAATTGCGAGACGACGGATCCACTGGTGATGACGAAACGACCACCCACGCGTCGTCAACGTTATCAACCTCATCATCGTCGCTTCGAAGATCCTTCACCTTCGCAGAAGGTGACTTCATCACGATCCAACGCTCGATTTCTAACTGCAATACGTAGCTTCAGCGCTTCGTGGAAACGACGAGAACTCGCGAGGACTAGGAACAAGCATGAGATCCGTACGAAATCAAGAAAACTCACCAACGATGAGATCAAATCGAAGGGCGTGGGAATCCCCAAGACAGCTAATAGAATCCACCTGAAGAGGAAGAGGAAGATCCCTGCGAAAAGTGTGGAAACATCGAATGGCAACGACACCGGACGATGGGAGGAAGTCAATGTCACCGGAAGAAGGGCCGGGGAGCTCGAGCGTGAATATTATGAGCACCTGGAAGCGCTGAAGTTCCTCATCGACCCGCCGCCGTGCTTCCGTAACACGGAGACCCGGCAGAACTTTGAAAACAAGTTGAACAGTCTTGATTTCAGACGGATGAACACCGTGGCGATTCCCGCGGGACCTGAAACTAATGGATATCAACATTTAGAAGGACCCAACGGGTTTCAGAGCTCGATCCGTGAAAATGATCTATTCGATCGCAGGTCGTACGCAGACACCCTGGACCGCATCGTTGAGGAACACCTGAAGATCGAGCGCACGATGATGGACTTGTTCGTTAGGGCGCCGATTCTGAAGAGTCGACGTGGCGAAGTGTCTCCCGCGCGCGAGAATAAAACTGTTCGCTTCAAGGATGAGGTGGAGCGCTCGAGAACATCTGTCGAACGATGGAAAAAAGGATTGAGACCCGAGGGCGAAGGTCGCGAGGCCGCGGGGATGGAATTCGATAATCTCGTAAAGACTGAAGAAATCTCGGACTTCTCTCGCGACCGGATACTACCGAACGAGAGCTCGAACATGTTCGATGTCGAAACGCGGAACGGTAGGTAGCGATTAACTTCAATTTGGGAAGAGATTTAAAAAACGTCGGGACATATCGGAAAAAGCCCGCATTTCTACACTGAGAAAAAAAATGCTCAAAAATTTATTTGTGAGATATGTTTATTCCACTGAAATAAATCTTTATTTGAATAAAGCGAAATAAAATTTTATTTCTGGCAAATAAACTATTCGTTTTATTTTTTGCTGTTAATGAGATGCATATATTTCACAAAATATATATTTCGTTATTACAGTTTAATGTTTCTATAACCAATAAATATCATTTGTATACTATACGTGCTTGCGAATGTTTCGACATTTTTTTCACTATACATAAACGTTTATAGCATTTTCGTAAAATTTTAAGGATAAGTAAATGCTATTTAAGTAATATAATAGAATATTATAAATTTTGATCGAGAGATTTTGCATAAACACATAATTTGATAACTTAATCAGTAGTGAATTTCATGAACCAGTAATAATCAAAGTTTCTCTCCAATCATCAATCCAATTTGTGTTAACATCAACTCGCGACACTGCTCTTCTTGCCACTGAAATTCGAGCGTCATTTATGGGTTGTTCTTGCTGCGACGAACGAGATAGTGCAATTAGCGATGCGTCATTACGTTTGCTTTTCGAGGGTCATCCGATTCTTTAAATAGAGGATGCACGAGAGTACTAAGTGCTACCGACGCTGCCTGTTAATAAACTCAAGTGTCGTTTATGAACACGCTTCAAATTTTATTATGATGAAATTCGATCATAAAGAGACCAGTGGCTTTCTCCCTTATATTTTTTAAATGATAATACATGGTTATTATATATTATAATATTTATTATAGTTCTCTATATGAGCTTTCTGACTACAATAATATCGAACAATATTTGTCCAAGTTAATGAAGCTATCGACAAAATCACCATAACAATTTCTTCGCGACAGTCTTTTGTACTCTGACATTTATGCGCCGATATTATGGCCGATGGAACGGCTTTCGATTTACGTCGTGAAGTCCTAGTCGCAGCCTCGATCGAACAATCCGGTGTGCCACCGGAAATAGCAATCCCCGTTTGTGAGCGGGCTTGTACGAACGGAAATTGTTCCTTTATCGTAACACGAACAAGCTACGCATTAGATATTTAGGGCAATCGTTCACTTACATGAAAAATACTGTACAAGGTTTAGATAGTGAAAATCGATAGTAGTAAATAAATTTCACCGCCCTATCGGAAATTGAGTTTTGATATAATTTGGAAGTGCTCTTTTTTGTTTCCAGGGATTAGGAATATACAAGTATATGTTATTATACTAAATAAATATTATTTTAATATTTATATGATTACATAAAAATTACATAGCTTTTTAGGATAATTGAAAGTAATTATAAAAAATCTTTATGAAAAAAATCGCGCTTGATTTGACGAAAAGAACAATTTTTTTGAATTCAAAAATTTAAGTAGATCTGAAAATAATTTTGTTAAAATAATTATGTATAAAATTCATATTGAACATTAGAATGCTGTAAAAAGTTTTGACATTCTAGTTTGAGCGTCTTATATAATTATTTTGATATATCTTCAAATTTTTACATTGAAAAGAAATACTAAATTTTAATAAGTCAGTTGTTTGAATAGTACCAACTAAACATTTACTAAATATAACGATTATATTTAGTACAAGAATCATTAATTTGATTTAATTACCATTCCTTATTATTGAATAAATATTTATATTGCTGTAAGTAAATAAACATTTACTCAGCATAGATCCTGCAAAACTGTTCTTTCCGTATGAAACCCAAATGTAAAGGCACGTCTTGGAATAATTCGTCGAATCTACGCGGAGCGTGACGCTGGGTGATCGATTATGCAACGGACAGAGTCGTCGGGCAATAAAATATGTCATGCTGGTCGATTGCGCAAGCGATGAACGACAGTGGCGATCGGATCGAAGGAAATCGTCCCTCGTCGTGAGGGAGTTCACGGTCGGACGACGAGAAGGACGAAAAGGGTGCAGCGCAGGGCAGTTGTGGAGGACGAAGATGGAAGACGCGAATCGCGGAAACGTGGGCTTGGCACCTTCGGGGCATGACGGCACACCTATTTCGCCCATCGCGTTTATTAACGTGCCCGTGGCCAATGGGCCCGTCGCCCCGACTGGAAGTTGCTCGCGTGAAACGTTCTCTCTAATTTTCCCCCAGGGAAATTCGCCTCCGTAATTTTCTTCCGAGAGGTCGCCTTTTCTGTGGTAGCCAGATTTTTACAGAAATTTTATGTAATTTTACGTAGATTGAAAAAAATGACTGTATCAATTGTTGATACGGAAAAAAGTTTTGCTGAAATATTTGAAAATTTAACTAAATACAAATCTGATAATAATTTGGTTGGATCATCAAAGTAATTATTTTAATAATTATTGTTAATAATTTTTATTAATTATATAT